CGCGTGTTTGTGCAGGAGGCGGCGGCTCCCCGGGGACCGGCGCCGCGCCTCGGCGCACCGGCCGCGGGCGAGGGGGGCCGGCTGCTCGCAGGCGGCCGCCGCCCCGCGCTCTCGCAGGATCAGGCCCCGGGCCCCGCGACCCCCCGCTTCCCGGTAGCCCGGGAAAGTAGGTCACCCGCCGCGGGGCTCCGCCCGGCCGGCGCGCCCTCCCGCGCTCGCCCCCGTGGCGCGCCTGGCCCGGCCGCTGCAGCCGCGCCCCGCCAGCTGAGGAGCGGGGACGGGGGGGGGGGCGCGAAGACCATGCCCCCGGGGCCGTTTGACCTCGCCAGCCCCCCGCAGAGGAAAGCTGCGTCAGGCGCCGCGCGGGCTCAGCTGACCCGCCTTGCCTTCCCCCAAGAGCTGCTGCTTGCTAGTCCGAAGGGCCACCAAGCTCTGGCCACGTTTTAGCTGGACTGGACCCCTCGGTTGGAGGAGATGCCTCGGTGCTGGTTCCGGAGGGAGGCTTGCTGTGAGCAGCCTGCCCGCCTGCTTTCCTCTCCCTTGGGAAGAGCAATCTAGGGAGGATCCAGCCAGGGGCGGCTGGTGGGGCAGGAACCGCTGATCCAGTCAGCTTGGGCTCTCGGAGGTGCTCGCCACTGCTTCTGTCTCTCATTGACGAGGGCAGATCAGAAGGTGCCCCTGCTGCTTCCTGCCCCCACCCTTGGCCCCTCTGCTTCCTTTCCCGGCTGGGAACCAGGGGGCAAGCAGATGGGCAGTTGGGCTTCCAGTGCCTTCCAGCCAGGCTCACCTCAGCCTTTTTCAGTATTGCCCTCTTTGCTGGTTTGGCTACTGGTAGGTTGGGTTGCGCTCTCCAAAACTCTGCCTGTTATGTAAGCAGGACGCGTGCTGTGATCGCCCCCCCACTCACCCCATACGTTTGCCAGGGGCTCTTTCCAGTGGTGGTGGTGTGTGTGCGCGCGCGCGCATTTTCCTTTTCCATCCCTGGGGCTTGCAGCCCTGAAGAGCCTCCAGCCCACATTTTGGAACCAAGCAGGGCCTTCCAGTTGCTCCGGGTCCTGCGAGGTCCCCGGGAGAGAAGCGCAAGATGGGGGCCGGCAGCCTCCTCCTCGCTGAGAGGAACTGAGAGCGTTCCGGTGAGTCAGCGCATCCTTGCCCGACCCGGCTGCTGGCGTACATGCCAGCGAACATGCCGCCTCCTCCGAGCAGCTCCTAATGCGGGAGAGAGCGAGCCGGATCCACGGGACGGGGGGGAGAGAGAGAGAGAGAGAGAGAGACACGCGGCTGGTTTCCACATGGTCGTTTATTTCCCCTCTGGGTTGGCCCTCTTAGTCAGGGCGGAACGGCCAGGGGCTTGGAACACACACCCCTGGCCGGCGCGTGGCCTGCTGGACCGAAGAGGTGGCAATTCCAGACTCCCCGCCCCAGCACCGCTCAGTTGGAGCGAAAGCACGGCCTGCCCTGGAGCCTTCTAAAAAGCCTCCCCCCTCCCCAATATCCCTTCAACACAAGCACCGCTTGCCCCTTCCCCACCCAAGTAGCCTTTACAAAAATGCACCCTGGCTCCCCCCCTTTACAAAAGACGGGGACAAATGTCCCAAACACTTTGTCCCTGGCTTCACCGCATCCACCCCCCACCCTGCCAAGATCCCTCTCCTTTCGGGGTGGTGGGGACACCCTTTCCCCGTGACAACAGCAAGACCCTTCGACCAGCACCGTCCAGCAGCCCCGGCGTCTCTGTCACCTCCTCTCCTTCCCGGGATGTGCCCTCTGCAGCCGAGCCTCGGGGCCTCCCCAGTCCAGACCCCGTCGCTCCCCAGCCAGCCCCGGTTTTGTCCGAAAGAGCGTTGTTCCGGCCGCCCTGCTTGCTTCCTCTGAGGTCACATACTGGAAACTGCAACCCAAGCCCATGTGCTCCGAGCGTCAAGGAATGCCAGTCCTTCCGGGTCCCTGGTCCTGCTGCTTCCTTCCACAAGCACCGTCCAAGCAGGGGGGATTGTCTGGGCAAGGGGGCCGAGCTCCACCGCCCTCCCCCACCCCAAACACCTTTCCTCTTCTCTCACTCTTGGTCCACCGGCACAGTCGCTTGGCCTCCGCCTGTCAGTTTTCTCTGTATAGCTTATGCTCGTTATATTGGGCATACTTTGGGGTCCCTAAGGGCCGGGGGGACCTGTGTATTGGTTTTATCTTATATGTGAACATAGAGATTACCAAAAAAAAAAAAAAGACGCACCTTTGTTTGGAAAGTGTCAAAAGTTTCCACCTCTGGTCCTGCCTGCCCGCCCGCCCATCTTTCCTTTAGTTCTCGGCTGCTCCCAGCCAGTCGTTCAGCCCTATCCTGCTGAGGTGGGAAAGATCCTGAGAGGTTCAGGAACATGGCGTTTGTCTCCCGAGAGACTCCCAGCCCGCTTTGGTGTGGGGTGAAGGCACCCCACAGCCGGCCTCGTGGGCCCTGGCCAGGCCTGTGTTGTTCGACTCTGTCCCTGCAGGCGTAACCGGTGGGTCTTTGCAGCAGCCATTGCTCCCGTGTATCCTCCGGGGGGTCGCTCCTTCTCACGGACCTGTGGGGTTCACCGGGAGCAGAGTCCAGTCGCTCCCAGCCAAGGAGTCGCCCATCCCGTTCACTCTGGCGTGGGCTGGGGGGACGGCTCCCTTCCGCAGGTGCTCCCTCGGGCTGCTGTCATCCCATCCCTGCTGCGCTCAGCGTGGTCCACGCAGTCCAGGCCCGTGGGATCCCCGTGCTGGCCGCGGGCGAGGGCCAGGAGCGGGCCCGGCCGGAGTGGCGGTCTCCACACAGCCAGACACTCGCGCAGAGAAAAAGAAGCAACAACAACGCCGGGGCGCCGGGGACCAGCGGTGGCCCGGTGTGGCTCGGGGGCGGTCAGCGGATGATCACCACCAAGGTGAGCACCCAGGCCAGGAGCGCGGCCTGGGTGCCCCCCGCCGCCCTCGCCCCTGCGCCCCGCGCGCCCCCCCGCCGCCTGCTGCACCCCGCTGGGCGGCAGGATGGGCGTCCGTGGGCACTTGCCCTTCGGCTTCGGCAGCATGCCGTGCTCCGTCTTGTGCTCGTGGCCCGGCATCTCCTCCGCGGTCTTCCAGGGCCCCAGGGAGGACGGCTTGGTGGTCCGGTTGCGGCTTTTGGTGCAGTTCTTGCTGGGCTTCCGGTAGCCCGGGCGCTGGCCGGGCGGGAGGCTGTGCTCGCCTGCTTTGCCCTTCTCCGTGGAGGAGTGGAGTGGGGGGTGGTCCCTGGGGGGCGCCCTGTCGGCTGAGGGGAGCCGGGGAACGTTGATCTGGTGCAGGGACTCCGAGCTGGAGCAGCCGCGGAAGTCCTCGGCCGGGAGCTCCTTCAGGTCCCGGCCCTGGACGCGCGGGGGGAACTCGCAGATGACGCTGGAGCTGGAGCCCCGGAAGCGGCGCAGCCAGTCCCAGAGGGACCGGGCCCGGCAGTCGCAGTTCCAGGGGTTCCCGTTCAGGCGCAGGTACTCCAGGGCCCCCAGGTGGGCCAGGGCCGCCCCCTGGAGCTCGGAGAGGCTGTTGTTGAACAGGAAGAGCAGCGTGAGCCGCCGGAGGTCATGGAAGGCCCGCCGGTGGACGCTCTGCAGCTGGTTCTGGTGCAGGAGCAGCCGGTCCAGGTTGACCAAGCCCCGGAAGGTGTTCTGGTGCAGGCTCCAGAGCTTGTTCCCGTGCAGGAAGAGGTGGCTCAGGTTGACGAGGTCGGCAAAGAGGTCTTCGTGCAGGTAGTCGATGTGGTTGTCCTGCAGGTAGAGGTACTGCAGGTTGTGCAGGCCCTGGAAGAGGCCACTGGGCAGGGAGCTCAGCCCGCACTTGTACAGGTGCAGCGCGTGGAGGCGGACCAGCCCGTGGAAAGTCTCCGCCGACAGCTCCCGCAAGTTGCGGTTGTCGCCCAGGTCGAGCTCCTCCAGGTGGACGAAGCCCGCGAAGGTGTTTGGGTCGATGAAGGTGATGTTGTTGGAGTACACCCAGAGGGTGACCAGCGAGGGGCTGAAGTGGCCCCGCAGCAGCAGGGAGATCTGGTTGTTCTGCAGGAAGACGCGCTCGCTCTCCTCCGGGATGCCCTCCGGGATGGTGAGGAAGTTGTGGGACTGGCAGCTGACCGTCATGGGCGCTGGGTAGCAGACGCAGTCCACGGGGCAGCCGCCCGAGGCGCGGATCGCCACTGCCAGCAGGGCGAGGAGGAGCTGTGGCAACCCCCCTGCAGGCAGAGAAAGGAGGGAGAGTTTAGGGGGCTTCGCGGAGGGGCCCGGTGACGCCCAGCGTCTGTGAGGCGGCCCAGAGGGCCCCCCGCCGGCCTCGCCCACCCTCTGCTCCTGGGCCGCAGGGGCACCGGGCTGCTTCGAACTCCCCCCGCTTGCCGTGGCATTTGCCCGGCTTTGAAGGATGCCTCCTTTTGTAAGAAGGGACACACGGGTAGCGGAGAGGCAGGCATTTGATTCCAGAGGAAAGGGCCCAGGCAGAAAGACGCAGCCAAGGGGCAGAGGAGGTAAGGCGCCAGTGGTCAAAAGCCAGGCAGCCCCGGGGGACCGGCTCCTGCAGAGATCGCAGAGCCCGGGGCCTTGATCTCTGCCCATGTCTACGGCCAGCACAGCTGGGGGCTCCGAAGGAAAAGATCCAGGGTGCCAGCCCTGGTCCTCCACCACCTCTGCTGAGGAGGTGCCTGCAGACCAGCAGCCCGATTCCCCTGGGCCGGGCCCCTTCCCTTCCGAGCATCGGAGCCCTCGGAAGAGGCGTCGGCGAGGCCCCCGTGCCCCCGAATGGGCCTCCTTTCGGAGCATCCCTGCTGGCCCTGGGGACGTCTTACGCGGAGGGGCCTCTTCCGCTCCTCCAGGCCTGGCACTGGGCTGGAAAGGCAGAGAAGCCCCTCCTCTGGAGCACCCCGTCCCACAACCAGGCCGCGGGCCACACGCCAGCCTCGTCATGGGCACCCACGTGCCACAGCTCTGTCTCAGCACCACTCCCGGGCTGCCATTCCCGAATCCTGCCAGCGAGCGGGACCCCGGCCAGCCCCCTCTGCCGCTATCCATTATTTATTCCCTGAAATATTAATGCCCTGCCCTTTGCCAAGCGGCACCAAGGTTGCTATAGCATCCAACCGCTCAAGATGCTCCAGTTCGCTTTGAATTGCCGTTTGGATGGATTTTTTTAAACCCTCCCTTTCTTTAAATGCATCCACTTAAGTGGCACGAAGTCTTCCCGGAACAGCCCAAGGGCCACCGCTCTGGGGCCTCCAGGAGGGGCCCGGCATCGGGGGTCCCCTGTGCTCGTCCGGGGTGGGTGGCTGGGAGGGTGGGGAAGCGGCCAGCCCAGTGCACAGGGGATGCTCCAGGGTGGGCAACGCTCTCTGCAGGGGGCTGGTGCGGAGGCGAGGGCCCACGGTTTTGCACACAGGTGAGCCCGAGCGGTGGAGGGGGTGGCTGGAGACGTGGCTGCAGGAAGCCTGGCTTCAGAGTTGCCCTTGGCTGTGGGAGGGAGGGAGGGAGGTGGCCAGCCCGTCCCGGAACTGGGAAAAAGGGGCTCTTCTCAGCCCGATGTCTGCCACAAGGGGGTGACTGTGGAGGGCAGGACCCGCCTTTCCCCCATCTTTGAGTAGCCTAGAGGGGCTGATGGTGCATTTGCACTCTTCCGACATTCTTAGGCGCTTACCCTCCCAACAACCCTGTAAGGTTGTCCTTTCCATCTCCTTGAGGCGGTGGGCTCGCCTCCCAGCCCGTGGGCCTCCCCCGGCACTTCGCCACGGCTGTCCCAGTGGGGCTGCCCCCTCGGGCACAGGCGCTTTGCACGGTGGCCCAGCGCAGCACCCCGGCCTCCAGCCCCCCTCCTGGGCCTCTGCCCACCCCGGGCACTCCAGCAGTGTCTCCCCTGCGTGCCCCGCGCTGCCTCCCAGGCCCGCCCAAAGTGCGCCCTGCTTGGCTCTTCTAATTGGTCGCTAATTGGGCATTGCTTAATGGACGCCTGGCATCATTTGTCTCCGCACTGTCCAGCCCGCAGGAGCGCCTCCCTCGTTAGGAGCCTGCCGCATGCTTACAAATGGCCCTCATTTACGTGCTCGCCTCCTTCCGTGCCCAGCCCTGAGGAGGAGGAGGCGCCTCCCTGAGGAAGGCCCGGCACCGCCTCCACCTCTGCCTGCGTGGCCATCACTTGCCCTGGTCTCCACAGGGCCCGGCCCCGGAGGCCCGGCAGCCGTGTTTACTGCGTGGCTCCGAGGGCCCCCCGGGGGCACTGCCTGCCACGCCAAGCCCGGCTGAGCCCCAGCGGGCCCGGGGAGGGCGGGCGGCCGCGGGCTCCTTCCCCGCCAGGCCCTAGCAGCTGCCTCCGCGCGGGCAGAGCGCTCAGCCGCCACTCCTCCCTCTCTGCCACCCGTGCCTGCGTCCTCAGCTTCTTGCCCCTGCCCCCAGATGTACTGGCCTGCAACTTTCACTGACCCACCTCCCAGCATCGCCGTCAGCACAGGATGATGGGTGTGTAGGCCAAAACATCTGGAGGGTCACAACACAACCCCCCCCACTCATAAGTAGGGCTACTGCAGCATTTAATGGTGAGATTGCTTTGAAAGAAAATCTTGCATCAAATAGGCAGACTCTTCTTCCAAGTATTGTTTGTTGCTCTTGGTTCCTCGGGTGTCTACAGAAGGCAAGAGGCCTCCCCTCCCCTCCCCCCTCCCCTCCCCTCCCCTCCTCTAAGGGGCCCTACTGCCAATGTGCCCCGGCTGGCTGATGGATGCTGGGAGCTGCCACCCCACGCTTCTCTCGGGAAGGCTGATGAACTCCCAAGGATGCATCTCCCTTGCCTTAAAATGTCATTTTATTATTTACCTGGCCACAGATGTGTGCAAATGTAACTGATCGATTAATTGGCTAAGCCGTGTGACGAATGGATGCCGGCTTCTCTAAGCAGCCTGCAGCTTGGGGGCTCACCGGAGCCCCCTTTCCAAGCAGGGCCCTCGGGGGGGGCTGGCCCTGCACGCAGCCGGCCGGCCCCCGGGGCCGGGGCAGCCCTCCGCCCGGGCACGCTCGGCCTGGCACGGAGCGGGGCAGCCTCCCCTGCGTAAGCCGCGTCACAAATGACTGGCAGATGCCAGCTGCTTAGAATTATAGTCTCCGATAGAGTGACAGCTGTTTCCAATCCCCCAGTAATCGCCCCGGCAGTTCTGGAACATAAAAATCATGAGAGATAATTTTGTCTTCGCATAATTTGGTGAGGCGAGCTGTGCCTTACGAGCGATTGCGACCTTAAAGGGTGGGCTTCTGGATGCATTTCCCCTGGATGCATTTCCCGGCGGGGGGTCGGGTCAAGGCAGGGTCCCCTCGTGCCAGCTGTACTTAAATGTTGCGGAAAGTGAACTGCTGTGGGGGGACTGCGGGGGCCCCCCCCAGCGGGGACGGTGGAGCCAGTGCCCCGGAGCACACACCACGCCACGCCACGGCACGCACGCGGGCGACGCATCTGCAAGGGCTGCAGCCACGTGGGACATCGTGGCTCGCCACTGGGTTCTCTCCTGGGGGGGGTGCGAGTGCCAGGCAAGGGCTCGGGGTCGGTCAGTCAGTCCCCAGCATCTGGCTTGGAGCCCAGCCCTCCTCACGGGGCCCTGGCCGCCTTGCAAGGAGAAAGGAGGCGGGGGATTCGCGTGGCGATAGCCATGCACCCCTCTTGCCCAGCGAGGGTGGCAAGAGAGGGGGCCAAGGCCGCGGCAGGGCCTAGCCAAGCGGGGGGACGGAGGGCCCCGCTGCGTCCAGTCTGGCCCCAGCCACCTCCCTCTGGCTGCCGGGACCCTGTGTGTGTGACGCGTGCGCTTGCGTGTTGCACAGCATGGGGAGCGAGCGGCCCTGTCTTGGAGGAGGCGCTTCGCCTGCCGATGCTTCCATCCCCGGAAGGGGCCGGGGATGAGGCCGGAGCCGGCGGCTTCCCCGGGGTGGGGCGCGACTGCAGCCTGCGCACAGCCTGGCTTGTGGGCCCGCACTCGCTGTGGGGGGGCTACCGCCAGGAGGGGCGAAGGAGAGCCCCCCGCCTTCGCCGCCCGCAGGCAGGGGCAGGGCCCTGCGGCGAGCGAGCCCGGGGGGACAGCCTGCTCAAGGTCATGTGAGAGTCCTTCCAGCCCCCCACCCAGCTCCTCCGCTGGCCACTCATTGCAGTTTTAAAGCCAGCCATAAATTCCGTCCTGCAATAACAGGGAAAATCAATACTGCCGGCTGAACCTCTCGCTTTATCTTGCCGCGCAGCCGGGCCCGGGACCTCCCCGCGGGGCCCTTCCTCCCACGCCAGACGGCTGCATACCAGGGGGGCAGCAGATCACCCTCCGGGCCAGGCGCTCACCCCCATGAGCTGGGCAGGCAAGGGAGGCTGCTGCAGCAACCTGGCCCCACCCCGCTCTCCTCCTCCCCTTCTCGCAAGGAAGAGCGCCTCCGGGGGGGCGGGGAGTCTCCCCCACCATTCTGGGCTTCAGGGTGTCTGGCTCTGGCCGAGGGCCCCTCCGAGCCCTGCGGCCCCGTGGCCAGTCCGCTCTGGAGGCACGCTGGGCCTTCCACCTGCAGGAGCGCCCCGGGGCTTGCTGGCCAACGGACGGATGATCCAGGAAGGACACCCGCTTGTGCGGCCGGGCTCGCTCGCCCGCACACACGTGTGCACGAGCCTGTCCCCACGCTTCTAAAGAAATCCGCCTTCACGCAACCTGTGCAGGACAAGCTGGAGTCGCTGCCACGGATCTCTCTCTGTGGCAAAGAGCCGCAAGAGCAGCCACAGCTGCCTGGTGGCAAGCTACAGAGGAACCACGAGGCTCAGCCGACAGGGCCCGGGCCCGGGTGCCACCCCGCAAGTGGACCCCACCAGGGGCTCGACCGGCTTCTGGCACTGCGGCCTGGCCAGCAAGGAGGCGCCCGGACGATGCCTTGCCCGAGAGCCTCCGCCCGCCCCCCAGGGAGCAACTGGCCGCAGCCGGGCACTGCTGGGCCAAAGCGCCCCGGCCTCCACGCCAGGCGGCGAAGACCCTGCAGGAGGGAGCCGGCTGCCCCCAGCGCTGCAGGCGGAGAGAGCCGGGCTGCTCGCCAGAGCACCCTGAGTGTGCATCGCCTCCCAGGCCATGGGCGGGGTGGGGGGGCTCCTCGTGCCTCGAAATCCCCCCCCCCGGAAGGCAGGATTGTCTTCGCGTGCCAGCGGATGTGCGCGCCTCAGAAACGAATTAGCACCGATTCGCTTCTCCTTAGAAAGCAGCCATCAGGGAGCAGCCTCTGAGCATGCGGCAGCGGAGTGGAGAGAGAGGAGAGGGGCTGCGCTTCCGGCAGCCTCATCTACTTGCAGGGCAGCTCCGGCCCCCAGCCCGGCCTGCAGCCCGCCAGGGGAAATGATGCGCATGCACAGAAGAACGCAGGAGAAGCGGGGCCTGCTCCTTGCTGGCTGGCTGGCCCTGCCCTGCCCTGCGTGGAGGATGCCTCGGCGTGGCGTGCGGCTTCGCTGCCCCGCGTCTTGCTTCCTGCGGGCATCCAGCATGCCTCCCTTCCCCTCCCCTGCGGCAAGGCCAGCGGAGCCGCTTCCCAAGCCCCGGATGCGCGGCTCCCACGCACCCTCTTTCCCGAGCCCTTTGGGCTCTTCGGACCACTGCGGAGCCGCCGCGGCCAAGCGGAGGAGGCTGGCGAAGCGCCGTCGCCCCTGGAGACCGGCAGCCCACAACCGCGGCGTGGGTGCCGGCCCCGTGGGCGGCCACCCCGAGGCTTGAGTGCAGTGGGGCAAGCCTGGGGGACGGGGCCGAGCGGGGGCCGCCACCGCCCCGTCTGGCCTGCAGGCG